CTCCACAACAAATTATCGAAGAAAACCGACTCAAACAAATATGCTAAACACATGAAAGAAGCACAATATATCTCTATATCATAACACAAAATTCTCTAATTTAATAAGAATAATAAATTATTGTATTTTTCTATAAGACAACTAATGTCATTCGTCTTTGTACCTCTATCCATAGATAGATTTTTTGTTGATTTTACTTTTATTTGCAAATTTTCGCTATGATGAAATCTGCTTTGTATTTTCGTCATTTGTCAAAGATTATAATTTGTTTAATTTAGAAATCTAGGTGTGGTAACGTATTTGAGTTATTCATTAATTTCAATCACAGATAAGATATTGTTTATAATTAATATATTTAATATTTTTAAATCCTTATCTACTTGTTTTAAATTTGCTTCTCAATTACAAACTCATTAATTGTACGCATTTATCGCTGAAATATTTCAACCATAGTTTCGCTTATCAATTATTATTATCAGAAAATACATTAATAAATATTATTTACATTTGTATCTATTTTAATAACAGTTATTTAAGCAAATTAATACATCATAAGCTCTTTGAGATACTATTGGCAAGTAGTTAGTCTAAATATTTATAAATATAAATTTTACTAAGTTAAAGTATTTTGATCACTTAGTCAAAGAACTAGTTTCTATTTAGATGATAATTATGTAGAATACGCAGTTTAAACTAGAATACTTATAGAACCCTGTTCATATATAATAATGAATACTTATATTTTATAAAAATTTATATCTTATCAATGTGTCTTCAGTTAAAACCTTCTTAAGTACCACTTAAGTTTTTGCCGCCTAACAAAACCTGATGAACATACCACTCTATTTATTTGCCTATTTTTTTTTTTATTTATTTATATACGTACATAATTATAGGCATACAAACATGCCATGTACTGAATCAACAAAACTTACTGATAAGACTGCTGTACTTTTATACAGCGCTAGAATTCATATAAAAAATTGATTTGTTTTTATTTAAAATTATTATAATTAATAATTTGGAACTACTTAAAAAAAAAGCAAGCTTTACTTTACTGATAAGTTTTTTTTGTAATATGCAAACCATTTGCCATTGTTTTTATTATAATTTTTTTTTTTTTCTTCTCTTCTTACAGTTTTAAAATGAACGGATTGGCCCAAGGGCCGGGGCCCTGTTTCTCCCGCCGCCGTTTGTCAGCGATAAACATCAAGTGCAACCGCCGTACAACAAAAAGCTTATCAAAATTTTGTGTAATCGCCCATAATAATCAGTTTATTACTAACAGCAATCAACGTCTATCGCTTACTGGTGAATTATTTCGAGATTTCCGAGCAAATAAAATTGATTATATTTACAATTTAATTAATAACTCAAAGCTAAATATTATTAAAGTTTTAAATAAAAGCGAAGCGGAGACGTTGCGTTTTGTGGGCCCGCAAAAAGCGGCTGCCCTCGTTTTTTCGTCTGCATGGAGTCAATGAGACGTAGTGAGGCGAATACTAGCCACCACCCGAATAAGGTAAGTGTTTTCAAATTTATCTACTAATAAATATTTAAATCAATAAGTTAAATTATAAAATAGATAATAATATATAACGTACATATTTAAAGTAAATTTTACAGATTAAAATATATAATATAATAATTTGTTGATTAAGATAAAATTAAGTACTTATTTGTTGTTAAAAAAAAACGAACTAAACTGTAACTATTGTTCCGAATATTTGTGGGTTTTAAAAAACAAATACATTGTATAAATCAGGGTTTCTCCATCGCCAGTCGACAGCATTGGCACTACCATATAAAAATATTGAAATTAAATGAAAAATATTTATAACATGTGTTAAATTTATATTTATATCATATATATAATATGAAAAAATTAAATATTCGTCGTAGACGATTTTAATTTTTGAGAAATATATTGATAGATACTGATCTCTACAAAATATTGAATTTTTGGCCGGTCTTTGAAAAAAACACAATAAATACTCTTTTGGCCCATAGTACATTTTTGGTTGAAAAATACTAACTAGTATATATTATACTGGATTATTGTACTCAACTCACAATAAATAGTTTTTTGGTCCATAGTATATTTTGGGTTGAGAAATACTAACTAGTATATATTATACTGGATTATTATACTCAACCCAGTATACTAGTATTAATACTAATTATATTAATAATCTTTATATTAAGCAATTGAAATCGTAAAGCTGAGATCTCTATCATTAGTAAAGAAATATTGATTTAAGTAATCTTTATGTTTAGAAATTGGAATTTTCAAATACCTGCACTATATGTGGTGGTATTATATATTTGCAAAACCGTATGCTTTTAAGTCATCTTCACCATTAGTAAAAATCTATATCACTTTAATATTCAAGTATCGTGGGTATTGGTATAGTTTTGGGATCCACATTTTTTCGATTTTTAAAATAATTCGTTAGAATATTGTTTTTACTATCATAAATTATTTAAATATGTTTATTTCATTAACTAACTTTAAGTATTTATGAAAATGGTTAAGTCACATATACCTCATTGTGACACAATTTTTTTTAAAAATAATACGTCGTTAATCCGATTTAGATTATGGTGACTAGTACTCTTTGCCACCATATGCAGTAGTAAAATTGTAGTTGACTGTTTTTAAACTTTGTCATACCTATTTACTTTATAAAGACCATTCTTGATAATCTAAAAAATTAATACTACTGACAAAAACATTTCAAAAGTTTATCAAATGGTATTGTGTGAATAAACGATTTAAGTAAGAAAAGTTGAAGTTTTTGCACAGATTCATAACCATTAATGAAACCTATATGCGTTACTACACTTCGGAGAGTTAAAAAAAAAGCACAAGACACTTTAACAGCCCGATATCTTCAAAATTAAACAATTTTATATGGGCACATAACCCGTTGTCAAATAGGTGTTCCAAGGAAAGCGAAGTCGCGCCCAAATGTCGTTCATTTACTCGCACTCTTGTTTAATTAATACTTCATTAGTTAAATTTAATCTTATTTTTTTTCAATGTTTTGTTCCTAAAGTCTTAATTATTTTAACTCTATTAGTTGCTCTAGTTTTAGCAAGTTTTTTACTCTATATACATAATCGTGCTCTAAAAATAACAGTTTCATATATGATCTTGTCTAACTGTTTAAAAATATAAATTTGTATCTTTGTTTATATTCACTTTTATAGTAAACATCATGTAATGTAACTCGTGATATATGTATATTATATACACACAGCACATATTTTTACATTAAAAATATTTATAAAATATATAAATTAAATATAAATATGTTAATTTTATTTTATTACTTTTTTTTTTATTTTTATATATTACGTTCTCCTACAATAGATTTTATATCTGTCAACTTAAATAAACTACTGAACTAAAGTACTTTTTAATTAACCATTCCGATAATGACTCAATTTAATTTTAAATTTAAATTTTTTTTCCAATATTTAAAGTAGGCACTTAACTGTTTATTGATGGTAATAAGTTATTATAGCAGCGATAACAATTTTTTTTATAGCGGGTATTTCAAATTCATTAATATAGTCATGATTTATTGATAATGTCATGATAAATTATATATCAAATAATTTTAGAACATTTTTTATAGTAATATATAAAGTTAATCTCTTTTTCAAAGTGTTGCGACTACTTTACGTTCCTTAAATTTATATATGTAATAAAATTATAATCAAAAAATATCAAATCGAACATTTATTATCTATCGATTAGAATATTGTCAGTTTGATTGAAAAAAAATGTACTTATAAAATATTTGTTGTACTATATAGTACAACTATAGTATTACTACTAATATCACTAACTGTCATTTCCTTCCGTCAGAATTTCTATTGAAGTGCTTTGATTTAGTAATTTGACGTATTTTAGCTAATGTTTATATAAAAATATTTATATATAGATTACCTGTTTTTGTGTGATTTTTTGAAGTTAACATTAATTATAAATATAAATATGTGATAATAGCATATTGTACGAATTCAGAAAAAAAAGTGATTTTTTTAATTATAAATAAACTCCCAAAATGATTGTTAATTATTAACATTATTAACAAGTTTTGAATGTATGCGTCTATTTGACTTTAATTCTATAATATTTTTTTATAATGTTTTATTATATAAAAAATTTTACAAAGTTCACAAATTCTGTATTCTTAAAATATATATTAAGTAATACATATATTTGTGTTATCAGTCATACAATTTTTCTTGTAAACTTTGTATATCACTTTCTAAATTATAAGCGTCTTAATATGATTAATATTAAAATTATATATTAAAAAAATTCATTTCGTAAAATTAAAGATTATTATTCTTATTAAATTATCATTTTTAAAATGATTTTTAATACATCAAATAATAATAATGATATGTTATATATATTAATTTTATCTGATCCAATGTTATATATATTAATTTTATCTGATCCAATTAGTTTGCAAATTAATATGTATGAAAAACTTAGATTTTGTATGATAAATTATTATGTTTCAGCATATAAAGGACTGTTTTTGTAGATATTTTATCCTAAAAAATAACATTTCTTATATTGTTAATTACTGATAATACATAATTTATTTAATTCGTGTACAGATTAATATTTGTTCAAGAGAGCAAATTTTTTTTAAGTGTTAAAGTTATCTTAAAAAGTAGTTACAAATTTAAAAAGGCAATTTATACAATATATACGAGTGTATATAATAATACATATTTATAATAATTTAATACGATTATTATTTTAACATAATGGTATAAGTTAAAATTTATTCATATATCTAAACAATGTATACATATATATACATATATACGCTTTGCAGATTTTCTTAAAAATTTTATCTACTACCTTTTAAAATAATTCAAAGTTAAATGCAACCCTGCCATAGTGAGTGTAAATTTGAGTATTCACTTCACAATGTCATTCGTGTACTAGCGTCGTCGTAACTTCTTTTTTTGTTTGAAGAAGAGACAAGAAAAAGCAGTTTGATTGAAGTGCGGACGGTGAAACAATACTTTGAGCGTTAAATTGTGTATAAAAGATTTATTATAAAATATTAAATAATTTTATTTACATTATTTATTAAATTTGTATGATAATTAAACAATAATAACCGGCGTAAGCCGGGTATAACTCTACTCAAACAACGTAAATAAATAAAAAAGAAAAGAAAATTTTTATTTAACTATACAAAATAAAGTTCCAAAATTGCGTTTCGTTGAGAACAACAGCGTCTGTGAAAAAGCAAGAACAATCATAAACATTAATTTTTAAAAAAGTGGCTGCCAAAGAGCAATAACAACAATATTGCTCTATGAAGCGGTTGCAGCGACGTCGCTGCTTTTTGTCTCGTATCTCTCGTTTACATTATTTTTGTATAATTCATTTTCGTCGTAATATTCGCTTTTTTCGGCTAATATTTTTGTTTAAAAATTTTTGTGCGTTACATCCACATTCATTATTGGTTTGTGCGTGTTTCCTGAAATTCTTTTCGGTTATTTTATTTACTTTTTCATTTTGCTTTGCACATAACAAAAGTGAAAAAGGTGGTTGGTTGGTTAATCGGCAGTGTGTTATTACTTCTACTTCTACTCCTTTTAACAATTCTTGCCGTCCTTTATGACGACTACTGCCTGCTGCTACTGCTACAATTTCATGGAGTTTTTCGGCTATTACTTCGTCTCTTTCACTTCTCTACCCATATAATGTGTTCACGTACAAAAAGTTTCATACAATAATTTATTAAATAAAAAAGAAATGTGTTTTTTTTTATTTTGCGATAGTTTGCAAACATAAACAAACAATTGTTATGGAATGGAAAAAAAAGAGGTAAATGTTATTTATTTATTTTTTATTTACATTAAATGAGTGCGTGCTTTCCCTTAATTTATTACAAACTTTCAATTAAAATAATTTGCAAAACAAATGAAATTAATTTGTTATAAACAATAAAACAATAAAAATAATATTTTTTATTTAATTAAAATATTTTAATTTAAAAATTTTTTTTTTTTTGAATTCAATGCAAATAATAACTGCACGGACATAATAAATTGCAGCAGCAGTGTATTTCCTTAATATGTACATTTGTGTGCGTGTGTAACTATGTGTGTGTGTATGTGCGTAAATTGCTAAAATAATTAAATTCTATAATTAATTAAAAAATGTAATAAATTTTTATGATGCTTTAAATTTTTAAACTATAAGAATACTTTGTTGAAATGAAATAAACTTTAAAAATAATTTTTAAAAAACATTAAAAAATTTTATTTAACGAAAATGTTTAAAAGTAACTGAAGTGCTGAAGTAATTTACTGAATATAAAATATATTATTGAAAAATAATATTAAAAAATATTTTTTTAAATAATAATAAAATACAAATTTTTATAAAAGATTAAAAAAATATGTTCTTATAAAATAATATAAAAATATATATTCATACAAATATATTAACTTTATATTAGTTTAGAAAATTCTTCAACCGTCAAGGAATATTGGTCGGACAAATATCAAAAAATTTTATCAGAAATGTAGAAACTCAATGATGTTTGCACAAAACTAAAAAATAAGATATATATATTTATAATAAATAAATCGAAAAAAGTAGAATTATTCATATACATTTTAAAGTAGGATTTATTTAGCCGGTTATCCGGTTCGCAAAATATTTCTTAATTGCAACACGGTAAATAGTTACAATACGATTTATACATATAAATCCAAATAAATCGGTTGTAGTTAACATGGATTAAAGTCTCGTATAGATGGTGTAATTAAAAAAAGAGTCTAAAAAATGTTATGGTCTACTCATGTAGTCCATAACAATATGAAAAATATCATGAGTAGTAACCTTGAAGCATTTTCTCTTTCAAATAAAATAGGTTTTGTTCTAAATGATGGGTAATTGATATGTTAAATAAATGTAGTCTTAGGTACAGCAAATGTACACAAACCAATTCCATAGAGTTGGTGTTGGTACGTTCAGATTAAGATATAATGAATCTATATGAGTTACTGAACCCCGGATAAACTTACTGAAAAAATTAATTCAACAAATATAAAAATTTATATAATTAGTGTTATTGTTGTGACGGCACGTGGTTATTGTGCAGAAGTTTATACTAATTAGCAGGGATTTTTTTAAATATTATAAATATACTTTGCAATTTTTGATTTCTCTAGCTTATTTCTCAGTTTATTAAAAATTTCTTAAGTAGTCTTTACAAAAATGTCAAAAAAATTTTATCACAGCTTTTCAAACGAAAACCGCAGGAGTTCTCTGTAAATGAGATTAACCTTCTAAATGACTACACAAAATGACATATATACTTTACTTAAAATAATTTTTTGGTTATCTTTATGAAAAATGTCACAAAAATGTTTAGGTTATCCATTATAATTTTTTTTTACCTTTTAATGCAAATAGTAATTATGTATACACACACAGACACACGCACATATATTGCAAAAAAAAGTAGGGGGATTATTTTTGATAAAGGGTGCCTTTTTGTCTATTGATTTGGGTGTGTTTAAAGTAAAATAAAAAAAGATATAATTTAATCATTTTAAACAATAATTATTATTATTAATAATATTTATTATTATTTATATAAATAAATATTTTTAATGGCTAAAGTATTATTAATGATTTAAAAATTAAAATTATAAAACATTTAGTTAAAATAAAGCAGTGTATGAAAAATAAAAATTCTGAAAAAATTTTACTGATGTATGGGTAACCTTAAGGGTATTCACGATCATGAGCAACGAAATTTGTAATCAAGTAACTTAGAGACATTAAAGAGTACATGTACTCAAACAGTTGCTATATTAATGAAAAAGGTTGAGAATAAAAATTGTCCTATCAAAAGTTCTATGTAAATAGATTTCTTTATTTTTAAATTAACAAAAGTCAATTTGCTATCTAATAGCACCAAAAACCCGAAAATTAATAATATAAAAAACTACAAATTCGGATAAAGGAGTGTGGTTACTATTGCTTGAAAATTTATGATAAAAAATTTGTACAGGAATTATATGAGATTTTGCTATATATATTGTAAAACAAGCAAAAGTGAAAGATTTTAGTAAAGTCTATTTATTTTACTATGATATATGTATATACTATGTATTTGCCACTATATATAAATAGTATATAAATTTTTACAATCATTACATAAACAACTGGTAACAATGAATGGAGACGAATGTTAAATTATTATTGTTGGTTGTTTTCCATGTAACATTGGGCAATATTAAAATCTAATATCTTAAAAATTAAACTATATCGACATATAGAATAAACGGGGTACTGGCTCCTAACGGAGCTTTTCACTGCGACTGATTGATCTATTTCAACATATAACGTAATGGAAAAAGTAGAAATTATTTGAGCTGTAACCCACTAACCACTCTAGCCACTCTAACCCAACCTAACCTATGTAACATATATATGTTACATTTCATTTTATATTCCAAAACAAAAATAGTAATGATATCCTGAAATACTGTGAAATTATATAGTATAATATGGAATTACTATCTCATTATAATATAGAATTATATAGTATTAATATAGAATTTTGTTGAAACAAAAGACTATGATGATATGTACTATAAATGCAATATTTAAACTCATGTTATGGGATTAGAAAGTTAATATTTATTTTAAATAAATTATTTATAAATGCAGTGATATGATTCTTTCTATTTTTAATTGTTAATTATTGAAGCGATCAACGGGGAATTATTTTACCCATTATAAAAAACAGGAAAAAAAATTTTGGTTATCTTTTTTTTTTACTCACATATAATCGAAAATAACGTGAATAGTTTCGTATTTGAATATGTCTTAAATTATAAAGTTATATCCTGTATATATTTATATGGGTCTAGAAAATCTTTAGAAATATGTTTGTAATTACATGTCATTACGAAGCGTTTATTTTCTGTTTCCTTGCCCTACTCTAATTCATCAAGTTTTCTTCTTCAGTGTTTTTCGCCATCTATATATTATTCCAACGTTTATTTATTTAGGTGTGTTACGGTTTTCAATCGATAATCTGTTTGGATTTGTTCTATAACAAAATCCTATAATCCTATTAACAGTATCCCTCGGTATCACATACTACTACCTGTATCTATTATTTAAAACAAAATTTCTATTTTTCTATCCGATCTTAGCCATAGAATAATTTGGGAGTTTAAAGACATAAATTAAACAAAAATTTCGTTAGTAACCTATATTAACTATAAAACTATATTTTCATCGAAGCTGTTTTAATGATGGCTGTAAGCCATACTTTTATCTTTGAAAAATGAAATATATTGATTATGATATCAATTTGGAACATAAGTTTTATGGACGAAATATTAAATTTCAAAAGACTATATTCGTAAGTCTTTATTCATTTATCATACAAATATCAAATTTCCTGGAAAAATGAAGTAGAAATTTAATAGCACAACTAAGAGTACTTGGACTTGATGTTTCTATAGTCGCTCGTGTCATAGTCTTTGTAAACGTCCAAATTAAAATGTGAGTAGTAAATGGTACCTAAACAAGAATTGTTGTTCCTGTAACCTGCGAGGGCCTATAATTTTAGATATATGCAAGGATTGCAAGACAAACACACATGGGTTAGGATGGAGTATGTGGAAAGCGAAGAGGGGTGAAACGGCGATTGTGTGGGATTAGGGAGGTGTGAGATACTCAAGATAGCATTGTAGTCAAATGGCATATAAATACAAGGGACCAGGGTCTTTGTATAAAATTTCATGCAATTAGTTCGCTCAATATAGTTCGATAGATAGTGAAATACGGCTTTGTATACTGATCTCTTTCAAATATTCGACAATATACATATATTTTTTGTTCTCATCTATAGTGGTGGTATCACAATACGCCATTTCAATTTCTCTGTATAGTCGTACTAACGTAACCTAATCTCTGATTTATCTACATTACCTTCGAAGCTTTACTAATAGCTTGATTAATTCATAATATACATATATATTAATATTGCTAAAAGAGTTAGCTTTTTAATAATTATTATTAAATTATTATATGTAGAAACAAATTTTGGAATTGACTATAACATATATTGAATATATTCACACTGCGTGTATTAAAAAAAAAAAATTGCTATCTGAAATCAACGATAAGATTTACTTTCACTTTAAAACTGAACTGCAAATCTTAACGCAATAAAATTAAATGATATGTTTATTTCTATTGTTTTTACAGTTTCGCATTGTTTCTGAGATATTTTACATAACAAAATACCTTACTTAATGCGTCAGACTAAGCCAAGTTAGTCTCATTAAAAATACACTGTCAATATATCTATGCAAATTATTATTATCGTTATATAATAATATATAGAATAGCTTCATCCTATCCTAAAAATGGTCAAGAATTTTACTCAAAACTGCAAAATAATTTTTTATTTTTGTCATTTTTATATAAATAATCACTTGTTATTAAAAAGATAAATCAAGTATAAAGAATTATTGATTAAAAAGTAGTTGAATCTGTACTGTGTTTGTTCATATGCGAAATTTTGCATCCAGTAACATTATTGGACGTATTACCAGCGATAAAAATTGTTGTGAAATTGGTTAATCAATTTTTCCATTTGTGTTGACGTCCAGACCTCCAGTCGCCCAATTGTCAGACTGGAGTTCCATCACCCTCTTAGGCCCATATCCACCTTAGTGGTCATTAACCCATGCCATCAGTATATCACTTCTAGCAATGCCCGGACAACAGTGATAGTTGATCACTGAAAATATTTTTCAACAGCAAAAAAATAAAATAAATAGAGAATTGTGATGAAATCCGTATTGAAAATGACTAAAAATATACCTTTTCGAATATTATTTTATTATTTATTGTTTCAATCAATTTTTTATTGTTTCTTATACAATTTTTTTTAGTGTTTATTTATGCTTGACTCTGTCTTCGATCGTAACAACTTGTTAATTACTACATGCAAACAAATGAATCATATAATTTACTAGTTCTTTTCAATGAACTACCTTAAGGAAAGTTTACCATTTATGTATATAAATTATAATAAAAACAAAAACAGACCAAGACAGACCACTGTCTTATTTTCACATCCGTTGTTTCTACTTTATGACCTCGCTTCAATGGCAAAATTTCCGTGTGAGAATTGAATCCACTAAATCAGCTCTATGAAATGAAAGGAGAAGATTTCCACAGCAATGTGGAAACTTCATTCCAGTTATCATGGGAAAGAGGAATGAGAAAATAGACTTAATACCTAGTGAACTAGATTCATCTAAGTCAGAAAGCAAGGGCATAAACTAGGTAGGATGGATGATATAGAAGGGGGAGGGGTTACGGCTAACTAGCGGGGATGGAATCAACAATATACTTTGTGACTGGGGTCACGAAAGCTGCGGTTATATAAGGGGATAGTGGAGTGGTTACGGTCCACTTCGTCGAAGTAGTGAGTCAGGTAGTGGAGGGGAGGGGGGGGGTTTATAGCGCAAAGCTAGAACAAAGTCTTTTGAGAGAGTGGAAGGAATGGAAACGTCGGGGGGAAGGTCATGGAGCCGGGTGAGATACCTACGGGCGAGTGACAGAAGATACTCGTCAACACGAGTGATCTTTGCATTGTTATAGAGAGTTGATATGGAAAAGTGTTTGCCATTAGGCTTGCGCTTATAATTAGTGCAATCGCGAAGAAGTTTCCGCTCAAACAAGCGGATTCTTTCCATCTGAGCGGAAGTGATGGCTGACCAAATAGGGAAAGCGTAAGTGAGGAGAGGACGAATAAGCTGCTTATAGCAGAGCAGCTTAACTTTGCAGTTTAGCTGGTTATGTCTTCGAAGTGCAGTTTTAAGTTGAGTATGCCTGAACCGGGCGTTACGGATGGCATAGTCAATATGTGGTATGAAGTTATGTTTGGAAGAGAAAACAATGCCAAGATATTTCAGCTTGGGAACAAGCTGAATTGGAGAGTTATTAAGCCTGAGCTTAATATTAGAGGTGCTAAAACCTCTGGGACGATCACGCTGCTGGCCAGTAAAGGCAATGGCAGAGATCTTGGAAGGATTGAGTTTAATCTTCCACCTGGTATAGTAGTCAAAAAGAGATTTAAGGTGGGCATTAAGCTCATTGGAGACGCGGAAAGGATTAGACGAGCGCATGAAGACAAGGCAGTCGTCTGCGAAGCAGATTTGCTTAATAGGGGTCCGCGGGAGTGGAATATCTGCTATAAACAGGTTGAAAAGGAGGGGTCCAAGAACCGACCCCTGAGGGACGCCAGCATCGATGGGGAAATCATAGATCCTTTTATGTACTTGCTTTCTAGAATCCCATGGGCTACTATAACAATAACTTAAAAGCTGTTCGGATTTTTAAAAAAACTAAAATTATTAATACAGTTGAAACTTATATATTACATATGTTATCTTCAAAATAATATCCCTTGTATATTCTTAGTATTTCATAATCTGATTTTGGAACGGTATTCATAAAAAGATTTACCAAATTTTTCATAAATTTTTTTTTACGAATCTAATCGTTCTGTAGAAATTTTAATTGAATCACAGGAAAACAAACAATATTGTTAATTAAAGTGAAAGGAATTTTCAATAAGTAACGTCAGATTTATGCCCTAGAAGAGCCACTCGCTAACCATTATCAAGGGTCGATTACTGAGTATAGATGTTATTGGGAAGGACTACTCCAAAAATAGCGAAAATTTGCTACAATAACAAATTCAGAATAATAAGACTATAAAAACCATATTGTACTTACATCACAAATTACGTACATCAAAACAATAATTGAGCCTATGAATTTTAATTATTATTACAATGGAGCCTTTTATTCCGAAAAGTAAACTATGCGGAATTTGTCACGATGAAGTGATATCTATTAATCACTTTTAATTTCTGCTTTAAAATGTTTGGGCGTTATGGTCCTCAAACAGTTTAGGCTACTCAAATATTTTAAATTCTTGAACAGCTCGAATGGTATAGTGTCCAATCCCCTCCTACTTTCACACTTCCTTTACCTAACCTATGTAAACGACGTTAGTAATTTTTTTTATGTTATCTTTTATATAGATCTCAACAGGTTACCGTAACCACAATAATAACAGCTCAAATATTATTTGAAACACTACTTTTTATGAATCTGTCCAAAACTTAAGATGAAATAACTTTATTAAATACAATAAATTACGTTTTTCCGATTGGTTACTCTGAGTTTCAAATTTGGGAAGGAACAAATTCAATCCCTAGTACTTCCATTCTCAAAAAAATTATTTATGAATAATTAAATATAGGAAACAATTTCAAGACCACTGATGAATACAGTTGTATGGTCAGTCAAAAATTCAATTAATTAAAAATAAGTAAAAAAATTTTGTTGTTACAATTTACTACTGTTTGAAATCTTTCTATCAAATACAATAGTTTTAACTAAGTAAAATAGTCACTGCTATCTTAACTGACGTTAAAATCAAATTTAAAATAATTTTTATAATAAAAAAAATATTGTTTCTTCGAAATTATTTAATGGAACACATATTTGAGAACAGTTTTTTACGACCATTAAGAAACAGGTTTTTACGAAGACTTTTAAATTTTATCATGATATCTGATATAGATATCTTAGGTGGCTATTAAATTTAAAGTCTCTTGATATATAAACTATTTAAAATTTTTACAAATGTCAAACTAAAATTACCAGAACCCTGTCTTTATAAATATGAAGTATATGGATTTGAAAAAGAATTAATGTATGAAAGTAATTAGCTGTATAAATCCATATTTATAAATATGTATACAATTATATATATATATTTATATATAAAATATTTATATTTATATACAATTATATAAGTTTATATAATTGTATCTAAACGTGTGTTTGCGAATATAAATTTAGATAATTCCAATATGATATATAGTCATCTGTTCATTGTTGGTTGATAGTAAAAATATTTTTCTTTTAAGTTGGGAAGATAGATAGTTCCATGACTCACAGTCAACAATTGAATATAACCGGTGTAAAATTCGGTAACTCTACGGACGTGATTTCAATATAGATATTTATGACGTGTATAAATTTTTTCAATATTATAATACATATTTGATGTTTTTAGATATCATAACTTATGCGTATGTTTATATAAATCAATAAATATTTTTTTTTTATATATTAATTGAAAATTTCTTAATTGATACTAATTATTCCAACTCTTCCTCTTCACTTATCATTTAAGGTGGCCGTTAATAGCAGCGTAGCAACGGAAAGCAATACTAAAAATAATAAATTGATAGGAAACGCAAGCGTCTCAGGTTCATCAGCATTGAACTTGAATCATAAATTGAGTGCAAATCTACACCAAGTGCAAGCGCATAATTCACAGCATAACTCAAATAAAAAATCAAATTACAGTAAGTATTGAAAATGATTAGATGATATTCCATTTATCAATTAAAAAACAAATTTAATTAAAAATCAATTTAAACGAACTTTATGACAAAATAGTTGTAAAAATATTTATTATTTTTGTAGAAACAATTGGCATATCGAGGACGAATTTTACACAAGCGAATAGTGGAAATTTGTCAGCTCCAACGGTAACAAATTCATCCTCTATATCGACTTCCTCCACATCGAGTGAATCAAAGGATACGAATTTTGAATACGAAGACGAGTGGGATATTGGTGGAATTCCAGAACTTCTGGACGATCTTGACGCAGATATTGAAAAGTCATCAACTGCTGCACAACAAGCAGCAACGTCAACAAATTCGGGTGGTGGCAACCAATCAAGTGCAACATCAATACTTAATCAACATCAACAAATTACTAATATAAATAATGCAAATACTGCAATAAATGCAAAAATTTCAACAACGACTAAAGCACATACATCTTCATCATTACTATCCACAAACTCCTCAGCATCATCATCCAATAAAAGTTATCATTCAACGTCATCGTCATCGTCAAATAAATATCCAAGACATCACCACTCTTCTGGTTCAATAACTGTTAATAATACTAATCGAACAAACCTGTCGTCTAGCCACAGCCATAATAGTGGCAAAACGTCCACTAGCAATCATAACATCACTGGAACAAATATATCCAGTAAACATCAACACCAGCACCACTTAAAAAATTTTAAATTACATCAATCTGCATTGGTCGCTCAATTGACAACTAACAGTAACAGTAACAGTAAAAATAGTTCGAATATAACTGGTAGTGCTAGTGCTAGTAACATCAATTCAAACATAAACTCTTCTCAGTCAAATAGCACATTGTCGTCGTCGACTTTTGCCGGCTTCTCTAAAGGAGGCAACCTTGTATCCTCCTCTAATACGAACAACACTGCCGCAGCCAACGCATCGAACTTAGCAAAGTTTTCTGCTGGCGGCATGTCATCAACATCCAACAATAGTAATAGTAACAACAACAGCAGTGCAGGAGGAGGTGCTATAAGCGGTCAAAGTTCCCAAGGTGGTAGCTCGGGTAACAGCGGTAAATCCAACTCAAAAATGTCCATTGATCACCAGGCTACATTAGATAAAGGATTAAAAATGAAAATTAAAAGAACTAAACCGGGAACGAAAACATCTGAAGCCAAACATGAAATTGTCAAAGCCACGGAACAACAACAAAATGGTTCTATTAGTGGTAATTCTAATTTAGATGATGGCAATGGCACACATTCCGGTTCAAATTCATCGTCTTCAAATACAAGTTCAATATCATCAGGCAACAGTTCTAATGTAGGTGGTAGCAGTGGTTCTAATTCAAACAGTGGTAGCAAAAAGCACATGAGCAACTCGTCGAACAGTAACAATAGTAGTCAAAATAATCACAGCACCGCAAGTTCAAATAGTTCAAGTAGTGGCAATAGTGGACAAACAACACCTCAAGGCACTAAACGCGGTAGTTCAGGTCATCGACGTGATAAAACTAAAGAGAAATCAACACATTCCAATAGAATGGCAGCTGAAAAAGCCGCTTCATCAAATGATAAGGAAACAAACTCGAATGATAAAATGGGTAGTAGCGGCGGTTGCCAATGTAACGGTGATACAAGTACAAATAGTAATAATGCACCTTGTGCTAACCACAGTTGCTTGAAACGTTCGGAGAATGGTCCTTTATCACAAAGAATGACCAGTTCAAATGCAAGTTCTAATTCTTCTGTGCCCCCAGGCGTTTTTATACCATCAGCGGGCTCACCAGCTGCTGTTGTGTCTTCAGCAGCAGCAACAGCAGCATCCTTACTTGCTGCTACCAGCACCTCTGGTGTTAACTCAACGACACAATCAAATAACAGTGGTCCTAATGCACCCGGACCACCATGCAAAGATAGTTCTGGTAACAGTGGTATTAAAATATCATCTCATATTGCAGCACAGCTTGCTGCAGCAGCCTCCAATAATTATAATGCCACTTCAAACGCCACATCATCAAATTCAGATAGTAAATCTGCACATGGTACATCATCCCAAGGTAAACACTTGGCACCTGGATTGATCTCAGCAACTATGGTGCACACTATATCTGTGCCCGCCAGTTCAGCAAATTCGACAAATGCAACAAATAATTTGGATGAAATTTCCAAATCACCACCTGCAAAACGTGCTAAACACGGTGATTTAACCAACTCGGCGTCGAAAGAAATGGTAGACATTTGTGTTGGAACATCTGTAGGGACCATCACAGAGCCCGATTGTTTGGGTCCTTGTGAACCTGGTACATCTGTTACGCTTGAAGGCATTGTATGGCATGAGACTGAGGGCGGCGTACTTGTCGTAAATGTGACATGGCGCGGCAAAACTTATGTAGGCACTTTGCTTGATTGTACGCGCCACGATTGGGCTCCTCCAAGGTGAGTTTGAAGATTTTCAAACTTTGATTTTTTAATTTTTTTTTTGCCTAACTATTCCTGCTCTTCTTATTTATATATAACAAGTACAAATAGCTTTTTAAGTTAATCCATTGACTATATTAATGTGATTGTTCTTTTCATTCCAAATAAATTGTTAATGTTAAACCAAAACATTTTTGTTTTATTTTTTTATTTATAAGGAGATTTTGATCATTTCTATACTATGCTTTTCTTTTCTTCTTTCAAATTTAAGAGTTCTACCCAATTTTTCGATTTTAATACTTTGTGTCTTAAATAATATTGTTTTATTAATTACAATAATTTGTTAAAAGTAATAGTTTTTGTTTCGTTTGAAAAAAGAACAATTCACTAATATTGAATTACCCTACATCCCTTTCTTTCCTTTTACATGGCATTAACATCCAACCCAACCAATATTTTGTAATTTGTACTATATAAAGACTATTTTGTTTATAATTCTAGATTCTGTGATTCACCAACCGAAGAATTAGATTCTCGCACACCAAAAGGGCGTGGAAAGCGTGGCCGTAGTGCCGCTTTAACGCCTGATTTAAGCAATTTTACTGAAACCCGAAGCTCTGTTAGTATCATAAATTATTACTTATCTACTAAACTTTAATATTTAGATTTATTTCTCTCATGCACAGGTTCATTCCAAACTTCGCAATGGTTCGACAAAAGGGCGTGGTGCTGCACGTACTACTGCTACAGCAACTTCTACAACTAATACTGCAACCACAAGCAGTAGTTCTTCCTCTGGCGGTGGCGGTGCAACACCCAGCACATCACCAACAGCATTTCTTCCTCCACGTCCTGAAAAGCGAAAATCAAAAGACGAATCACCATCTCCTGTTAATGGCGAGACTGATCCGGCTACAGCGAGTGTGGCCAATGCCAGTGGTATTCCTATCTCAGCAAGTGGTGGTGGACTTGCAACACAGCCACAGAGTCTTCTAAATCCTGTAACAGGTCTTAATGTGCAAATTAACACTAAAAAATGTAAGACTGCTTCGCCGTGTGCGATCTCTCCAGTTTTGCTTGAGTGTCCAGAACAGGACTGCAGCAAAAAATACAAGCACGCAAATGGATTACGTTATCATCAGTCTCATGCACATGGTGGTGCTGGTTCAATGGATGAAGATTCACTACAATTACCAGATGAACCACCCTCTACTCCATCTCCAGGTCCAATTGCAGCACCAACGCCAGCAGTGACACCAACTGCTAGTGAAGCAGCAACAGTATCTGTAAGCCCGCCACCAACACCTACGTCAGCAGTAGTGACTTCCAATGCTGTTACTACTGTAACGTCAGCATCAAGTTCTGTATCACAAATTCCATCACCAGCATCTAGTACAGGACAAGAGCAAATAATAAGCTCCTCAACAGCAACAAATGTAACTACTGCTACTCCAGTATTGACTGTACCCTCACCCTCACCCTCAACAGCAACAAGCTCCATTGCAACAGTTAATAGTGGTTTAGTGTCAGCAACACCACCTCAACAATTGCCCCCGCCACCACTTATACCACCCGCGCAGCAACAAACACAACCACAGCAACAACAACAACAGCATCAACCACAATCTCAACAACCGCAGCAGCATCAAGCACAACCACAACATACAATGGCTGGTGGCAGCATAACCGCTGGTATATCAGGACAAGTACTTTCGCAACAACAAACACTTGGTTTGGTTAATACTCCTAACATGCCACCTTTGTTATCTGAGCAACAACAACAAGCATTATTACAGCAAGGAGCACGTACGTTTATCATTAACACTCCTAAAGTCGTATACTATATTACCTTGTTATGTTTATTATTTATTTTGTAGTGAAACCAGGTGTTTTGCGATATGGGCCACAAAATGATGGATCTACAGTTTCTGGTGGACCACAACCAATGGCAGCATTGCAACAACAGATACCTCCAGGACAACCCCAACAACCGCCTCAGTCTAATATGATGCCTGGTAACAGTCCTTTAAGGCCTACTCCACAAATGCAACCATCAAATGAGCACCTGCAACAACCTCCACCAACAAGTAGCTATTCTGTAGGTGCACAAAACGTTCCACAAAACATGCAGCAAGGTAAAAACTATCAAATAAAATACAAATAATAGAAAATAAACGAACATATTCATGTATTGCAGGAATTCCACTGACTACAAAGCCTTCATCCGGATTTGGCATTGCAGCTAAGCCAAAGAAGAATCGTAAATCGCCTGTGCCAGGTGAATTTGAGAATTCTACATCTCGTGACGATGTTCAAAGTCCTGCGTACAGTGATATATCAGATGATTCAACGCCAGTTGCTGATCAGGATATGTTAGGTAAGATTTATAAAATTTTTGTGTGCGTATTTTAGTTTGAAATATATTAATATTAATATTTATAGATAAATCGCAACCATCAAAACATTTGGAGATGTTAACGAAAAAGCCTCAAGAATTGGGACCTGCAGGCTTAGCTAGTGGCCCACCTTCAATACCACCAATTGGTAGTTATGGAATGTATCAGTTCTACCAACAACAGCAATACATGGTACCACCATCTGCCGAACAACAACAGCAAGCTAAGAGTATTCATCCGCCTTCGATAGGACAACCACCAATGTCGATGCCACCATCTCAACAACAACAACAGCAACCGCCAGCACATATACAACAGCAATCATCACCGCATGTTGTGGACTATAATAATAAAAATAAAGATCCACCTCTTGATTTGATGACAAAACCACAAGTGTCGCATACGCATCAACAATCTCAAGATAACACCAACAAGGATTCGCCAGTAGGGCCACCTGTTCCACCACCTGTTAATTTAAGCAATGTTCCAACATCCGGTAGTGGTTTACCACCTGGTTTAGGTGGTCTATCAGGTATTGGGCCTACAGTCGGTCCGGGTGGTTTGCCTACACCTTCTCCAGCGAAACCCATTTCACATTTTTATCCTTTCAAGTAAGTTTAACTAATATTTAGTTGTTATAATAAATATTTAAAATGTATTCTTTTTCAGTTATATGCCATCCGGTTATCCTTACAATGTTGAGCCGAACTATGGTCCCGTTTCTATTGTATCATCTGATGATGCGAAGCTTAGTAGTCATCCCGGCATACCAACTTCTCAACCTCAAAACTCATCTCAACAACATTCTTCAATTGCAATTAAGGAGGAACGTACAAAAGAAAATCCTAATTCTCATGAGAACCTTAAATTAATATCACAGCAGCATCAGGTTAGTTTCCTCTAATTTTAATTTTTATTAAATTTTTAATGTTTTTCTCATTTCAGTCACTACAGAATAAGGTAATCAAAACAGAACCTATTCTACCTAAGCAAGAAATTAAGCAGGAATCAAGTAATGGTAATCCACCACCTCCAACGCAATCACAGCAGCAAGTAGTGCCGCCACCACAACAACCCCATGCAATGCATCCTAAAGACTTACAAGCATTGGGAGCATACACAAGCATATATCGGGGTCATCCAATGAGTTTGGCGGCACAACAGCAAGCTTCCCGCGAAGAGGAACTGCGAAGGTAAATACTTCTTTATTTTACTTTACTTTTACGATCAAACTAAAATAAACTTAACTATAATTTTTAATATATTTAGATACTATATATTTTCTGATCAACAACGACGTCAAAATGCTGCTGCACAAAATGCTTCCAATGTTGGCCAACCTACCGGTTTACAAGCGTTGTCGGCTTCGCATCATAAAGAGGATGTAAATCCTCCACCACAGCAACAACCACAACAACTTACAATAGCGCAACAACAACAACAAGCCTTACATCAACATCATCAACAACAGCAAGCTCTGCAACAGCAACAACAGCAGCAACAGCAACAACAGCAGCAGCAACAACAACAGCAACAACAGCATCAACAGCAACAAAAAATAAAGTCACAAAATACATCCGGATCAAATGTACCGCTTAATAAGGCAACTAATTTAACTAAGGAATCTCCAAAGCAAAAACCGCAAGAGGAAGAAGTTAAAATAAAACAGGAAGGACAAAAGCCAACAATGGAAACACAGGGACCTCCCCCACCTCCGACATCCCAATATTTCTTACATCCATCATATATTGCACCAGCACCATTTGGTTTTGATCCTAATCATCCAATGTATCGCAATGTATTAATGTCAGCTGCTGCACCTTATAATGCTCCACCTTATCATTTGTCCATGCCACGCTACCATGCTCCTGAAGATCTATCGCGCAACACTGGGACTAAGGCGCTCGACGCATTACACCATGCAGCCAGTCAATATTATACGACGCACAAAATACATGAACTTAGCGAGCGAGCACTTAAATCACCCACTAGCGGTGGTGGGCCTGGGCCTGTTAAAGTAAGCGTTTCAAGTCCAAGTGTTGGTGCACAACAACAGCCTGGTATGGGTGGAAATGGGCCTGGTGGCGGACCTAATTCTGGACCAGGCGGACCAGGGCATTTATCAGCAGCAAGTCAAGGAGGCGGTGGAGTACCATTAAACTTACAGCCACCACCAAATTCAATGGGTGGTCCACCAAATAAGCAAGATGTACAAAAATCACATGGTGGCCCCGGCGGCCCTGGTGGTCTAGCAGGCGGTCCAGTAGGCGTTGACGGTCATAAGCAAGGAGGAGGTGGCCCGAACATTGTATCAACTACTGGAAATGGTGGTGGTGGTGGCGGTACTGTTGGTAGTGGTAACACTGCAGATTCTAGAAGCCCGCCACCACAACGTCATGTCCATACACATCATCATACACACGTTGGGTTAGGATATCCAATGTACCCTGCACCGTATGGAGGTTAGCATTATTTCTTAGAATTTATTTTAACTTATTGGATTGATTAATATAATATTTGATATTATTGTTTTGATATTATTGTTATTTGCGTTATACAGATTTTGTTAGTTGTGCATTAGAATGGAGAGAAAATTATTCTGCATTTTTGTCATAACTTACTGCTTTATTTCGTTCGTACGATATGTATTAATTATTAAACGTGACTTAAACCGATCGCTTTTATTAAAATGATTATTAACTTATGATGACATGGGAATTGTTTACAACAATGTGCTGATTCATCTCGAGTAATATCAAAATCTAAACTAAATAGTTAAATAAATAGTTAAATACTCTCGGTAATTGATCAGCTTAAAAGAATTGATCATCCAAAACAATCCAGAGTTAATTGATCCGTTTCTTTCTTCCAGTTAAGAATATTTTGGTATATGATAACGTGAGATCGTATTTAAGTTTATTCTTCCCTGAAAAGTTATAATATATCATATCGCCCCTAGTACTCAACTGTGCTTGTGCCATTAGATTTCCATTCGTTTCGTTTTAAATATGAATATATATATAAATATTATAAGTAATGTAATATGTAGTGTATTTTATATATATAAGTACTCTAGTATAGTACTTTATACATACTGTATATATACATATACACTATACTATGTGTAGTATACACTATACTATGTGTAGTGTACACTATACTATGTGGAGTATGCACTATACTATGTGTAGTGTACATTATACTATGTGTATTGTACATAATACTATGTGTAGTGTACATTATACTATGTGTAGTGTACGTTATACTATGTGTAGTGTACATATACTATGTGTAGTGTACATTATACTATGTGTAGTTTACACTATACTATGTGTAGTGTACACTATACTATGTGTAGTATACACTATACTATGTGTAGTATACACTATACAATATATATACTAACTGCAATATAAACTGTACTATATATATTATATGCAATTTATATACCATTAAGTTACAATCTTTACAATTCAAATGTCGGTATGCAGAAGAGGAGTATTTTTCTTTCTAATATATTAAGAATAAATTACATAATCTAAATTCTATGATTTAGGAACCAAAATTATTATTGTTATTTTATATTATTTAATAAAAAAAATTTTTAATTTTCTTTCATTTTTAGCTGCTGTTCTAGCAAGTCAACAAGCGGCTACTGTAGCTGTGATAAATCCATTTCCGCCTGTACCTAATAAATGAGAACAACTAAATGATAAAAATCCGTACAATATGAAAACCTGAAAGTAAATCTTAACAGAAGAAGACATGCTTATGGAATTGCAAAATATAAAAAAGATGGATTTTTATCATATAACAAACAGAACTGGACACAAAAAATTAAAATAAAAACAAAAACAATTAACAAGGGAAATTTTAACTAACAAACAGAATTTTAAGAGCAAGAAGCTAAACGTAATTTTTTATACACATAGTTATTGTACTATATAACATATATATAAATATATAAATATTATATGTATAGATATAGAATATATATCTATGTAATATATACAAATCTAAAATAAAATTAACAAAATTATAAAACTAATTATAATTATTATTAAATGATATTTCATTAATTGTTAAAAGCGCATAGTTCGTTTATTTTTGTAATATTGAATGAAACATAATTAGCATATATATAAACCTATAAAATAATATATGTGTAAAACTTTAATTTTTTTTTATATTAATTTAATATCCCTAAATATTTAAAGCTTCAACTATATTTAGAGTCTAAAGATAAATTTTATTAATAAGTTAATTGCAAAAAATGAACAAAAATTTTAACTGTGTTTTTAAAATTAGATATTTATATACACAAATATATACATATATATAGATTGATGTAATATAATTGATTGATACAATGTAATATAACAAAAAAAAAACTGTGTTGCTGACATGAGATAGACATGTCTCATGTCTGTCTCTTAACTTGAGATGATAAATTTATTTAATATAGTTTTATTTTTAATACTGAGTAACTTTAGTTGTTATTGTTTAAGTTTAAGAAATTTATGTTTCGTATTGTTTGTATAATTGTGAAAACTCGCAATAATTTTAATTTAAAAACATAACTTAATAAAAAATTTAATTATAAGATTTAGTTCATAGTTTTAAATATTATAAGTAATAGTTGCAGTTCTAAATATATAAATATATAAGAATTTAACAAGTGTATAGATGTAATATAAATTCCTTTTATTTAAATTCAAACTGAATAAAACTATTGAAAGTGTTACTAATAAAATTTTTATAAATGTAAAATATAAAAGAAGTAAATCTATATATCTATTAAAAAGTATGAATGACTTGACTGTATTTGTGAAGTAGCTGTAATTGTTTTAAAACAAAAAATTGTACAGTTTATTATATAAGTGCAAAGAAGTTTTTATATAATTTGTATTTGTATTTGTATTTTTAAGTTCTTTACCGTCTGCTGCATTATAAGTATTATGAATAAAATTAATATATAAAAAATTAATTAATTATATTTGAACAGTTCAAATTCCACTTGAAAGCAATCTAGTATAAGTGTATACATTTACATATATATACTAATAGCTATATTTATGTACATGTGTATTTCGTTTTCAAATGCAAATCTTTTTAATTGCTGCTAAAAAAATAATATATCTAATATTTTAATGCAGTGCTAGACTGTTTAGAAATTTTACTCAAACTTGTAAAGTGTTAGAATAAAATAATTCTAACAAAAACTATTTGTATTGAATTAGTATAAATGTGTAGCAGATTGCTTTGTAGTTTTTGAAAATTCCGAATGTATAAAATTGTTAAAATTATAGTGGTTATATATAAATATATGTATTATTTCGTGGAACTCTATACTAAGCTACTTTGTTGTTGCTCTAACAATAATCAAAAAATTATTTAATGTAGTCTAAAATAAATATTGTAATCGCAATACACAAAAACAAACATTCATATATATAAACATATATATATATTTATTTATTATTGTATATAAGATAAATTAATTGTGGCGTAGACAAGCAGCTAAATGTAAAATAAATTAATTAGCACTGAAATTGTTTAACTGGTACTAAAATTATTAACACATAACTACAACATTGCTTTACTGAAAAATACATTTTTTTACTTTTGATTTTTTTATATATTTTTTTCTGACTTAGTGTTAATATATTGTATCTTATATACAAACATAAATTTTTAATGCACATATTGATGTTGGGCCTAGCTTTAGTAATAAAAAAACAACAAAGTAGTTCTATATTAAAATATACTAAGTAATATATATATATATATAAATAATTTCTTGTATGTATGTGTATACAATAAACTAGATTTATATATTAGATTTTATCTCTTTTATATATTTATTGTAAATGTAGCATTTGTCGTCGTAATTAATATCTAAAGAATATCTTAAAATTAATTAAAATTCAATATAATAAAAATATATATTCAACTATTTAATTGTATTATGATTATGTATAAATATATACATATTTATTTATATATGTATGTATATTTTATATATATTTATAACATGCATAAAATATAATTATGAAAATATATATTTAAAAAAATATCAAAAATGAAACGATTTAAGAATTTTAAATAGGCTAAACTATAAGTTATTAAGAATAAAATTTAATTTTTACATATTCAAAATTTATAAAAAAAATAAATATATTTATAAATATATTATATTATATCAAGAACAAGAAGGAAAGCGTAAATAATTTGAAAAAAAATTTAAGAAATTTATGCTAAATAAGTTCAAAACAAATAAACATTTTTCATATTAAAAAAAAAGTAATAAGAATATTTCTTTCTGTGTTTTATAAAATAATTGCTTATATAGTTTTTTATAAAGCTTTTTTATATAGTTTTCTACATGGATTTTTTGTATAGTTTTATCACATAATTTTTGTTTATTTATTTTTTTTTATAGTTTATTTTTTTTTTATTTTTTATATATACAGTTTTTTTTAAATAGCTTAGCTTTTTTTAAATAGTTTTTTTTAAAAGATTTTTCATAACTTTTTTTATACAGTTTTTTATATAGTATTTTTTATACAGTGTTTTTTTATAGTTTTTTTATACAGTTTTTTATAGTTTTTTTTATACAGTTTTTTTAAACAGTTTTTTATATAATTTTTTTTATATAGTTAGTTTTTTTTAATGGTTTTCACATAAATTCTTTTTTATAGTTTTTATTTCTATAGTTTTTTATGTAGTTCTTTTTTCTATATTTTTTTTATATAGTTTTCTTTTATATAGTTTTCTTTTCTATAATGTTTTTTATATAGTTTTTGTAAATAGTGTTTTTCCTTAAATTTTATAAAGTTTTTATATTTATTTTTTTGGTTTTTCCTTGTAATTAAATTTTGTTTTCTAATTTTTAAATGAAGATATTAAGGGGTTCATTTCATAAAGATCATTAAATCACTGTTTTGTAGAATTTATATATTCAGAATTAAAACCAAAAATTCTACAGCTTTAATTGCAATAATTATTTGAAATTAAGTAAGAGAGCAAAACAAATAGAATGATTTATTGAAGTTAGAAACGCATTGACGTTGAGTTATTGCGTTTTTACTCTCAATTTGCTAAAATTACGCTCATCTTTTTTAAAACTTATGTGAAAGTTATAGATGAATGCCTCCGCACAAGAGGCAACGTGTGAGAGTCCTTAAAGAGCATTAAACAAGGTTAAATAATAATGAAAGACACAGTTGTGCCCACGGTTGCCACTTGAAAATTTTTTCCTGTACCAAAATTGGTTTAAAAAGGTATCATTTCTGTAAAAAAAGGTCCAAAATTTATTTGGTTCTTTTTGTTTTTTCGTTCTGTGTTTTTCATAAATGAACAAAATATAAAATAGTGCAAAGTTGCATTTATAAAAAAAATTAATTGGAAATATCCATAATAAAGTTGAATCGTCAAGAATGTACCATTTTTTGTACATGAGTACCAAACGAAAAAAAAAGTACCAATTTTGGTACTAAAGTACCATAAGTGGCAACCGTGGTTGTGCCGCTTGTGAGTTACCATTCATATATAAGGTTTATATATATACAATAAATGGTGAGCGTGATTTTAATAATTCAGAAATAAAATGATATGCCGTCAATATGTTTCTATATTAATGAAAGAATAATTTAGTAACTTATACTACATAAAAATAAAAAAGAAAAAGAGCGGCGAAAATTATACATAAAAGAATTTGGGGATTATAATATATATTAATATGTCATACTTTATAAATAATGAATGAAGGGAAAGGTACACAAAAACAACCCAAAAAATTATAAATAATATTTGAATAAATGTTCGGAACTCATAATTCCTTTCAGACTGGGAAAGTAGTTGAATATTAAATGGAGTCCTTTTATTTGAATGATAGGGTTTAATATTATAAAGAAAAATTTAGTATATTTGTATTTTGGTAAACGTTATTATAAAGAAATCACATAAAATTCACAATCCGTTTAGAACCTTCCATATATTATGCAGAAACGACTAGAATTTAATTAAGCCTGAAAAGGAATTATAATTACGTTGAATATGAGAGAATTTATTGAAGCCCAAAAATAAATACTTTGACACAAGCAGATCATATATCTGAAGTAATATATACAGATTATATATACATGAGGCTAGAAAAAATCACTTAGATAAAAGAGAAAGGAGATCATATAAAATTAATAGGTAAGAAACATGAAAGGTAGAAGATATCAGGTGGACAAAAGAAAACGGTAGTTATATAAAACTATTATAGTGCAAAACAAAAAAAAAAATCATGTTGATGAAAGAAAGGGAATATTACATAGAGTTATTAATGTGCATAAGAGGTAGTAGGGAGAAGAAATAAAATCGACAAAAAAAAATATATAATATTTTAATAAATATTATATATAAAATAAATATGTAAGAAAGTTTTTCTCTTTTGACTCTTTTACGCATTGTACGCATATAATAAACAAATTATAATTTAGAGTATATATAGAGTATATATTCCAGAACTAGAGTCTATGATTAATTCTAAATTAAAATTTAAAATTCTACGACAGAGGCTATAAACGATTATTTATCATATATCAATGTGAATATAAATTATCTTTTGTAAATCCCATCAGTATCAATCGTATCATTTTATGGGTCACATTTTTAAGCTTTAAATATTTCTGCTTCCCGACTAACCATTATTTTTAAGCTATTGCTTAAATCTAATCTGTATAATAATATATAATAATTAATAAATCGGTCTGATATTCAAACAGGCTTGGAATTTATCGTAGGATTATTTTAAAATAATTGTACTTCTGAAGTAAAGATCATCATTAAAATAACCATTTATTAATTAATATATATATAAAATCAGTAAGGATGTGTGAATTAACTTCATTTTGAGAAGTTTATTTCGACATTAAAATCTTAA